TTTGTCTGGGCACATTGCTGCCCCACACAATCGGCATCTGTTGTTCTGTCTTCTAACACTTGTTGAGCTGCAACAACCATATTTTACTAATTCTCAGACCCATGAATTCTTTTTTTTTACACTTTAACTTTTTTTTAATAAGAATCGTCCTATATTGATACTATCTCATTTTTAATGAAATAGGGTATGTGTCAGGCACTGTTCTGGATGCTGGGAATAAACCAATAAATGAAACAGATGGTCCCCTGCCCTCGTGGAGCTGATATTCTAGTGGTGGGCAGATACACAATGATACATAATAAGTGCCCTGGCCGGTTTGGCTCAGCGGTTGGAGCGTCGGCCTGCGGTACAGAGATACATAATAAGTGAATTGTTTACTGTTTTAGAAAATGATAAATGCTTAGGAAAAAAAACAAAAAGTAGAGCAAAGTAAGGCCCATTTGGGGGGTGGAACAGGGACATGTTGCTGTGTTAATGTATTAGTTATCTATTGCTGTGTAACACTCCAAAACTCAGCAGCTTAAAACAACAAAACATTTATTATCTCAGTTTCTGTGGGTCGGGAATCTCAGAATGGCTTAGCTGGGTCGTTCTGGCTCAGGGTCTCTCACAAGGTTGCCAAGATGTCAGCAGGTGCATCATCATCTGAAAGCTCAACTGGGCCCGGAAAGCCCACATCTCAGATGGCTCATGCATGCGGCTATTGGCAAAAGGTTTTAGTTCCTCACTGGCTGTTGGCAAGAAGTCTTGGTTCCTTCCTTTGTGGACATCTCTACAGGGCTCCTTGGGTGTCTTGGCTCCACCAGAGCAAGTGATTCAAGAGAGAGAGCAGGGAGAAACTCACACTATGTTCTATGACCCAGTCTTTGAAACAACACCATCACTTCTGCTATATTCTATGTGTTCAAAATGAGTCGCTATGTCTGGCCCACATTTAAGGAGAGGGGAGTTCAAAGACTAGTATCAAAGAATGTGGGGACATTTTTGGGAACCACTACAATGAAATAGGAGAGTCGGGATAAAAGAAAAGTCATATTTGAGCAAGGACTGGAAGGAGATGAGGGAATCAGACAAGCAGATGTGGTGGTGGGAAGGAGAGTGTTAGTCAAAGAAAACAGCTGGAGCCATTAGAGTAAGGCTTACCTGGCATGCTGGTAAAGAAGGAGAGCGTGGACACTGGGAGACAACTAGTGGGGCTACTAAACTCCTTTTCTCCATTACTAGCTGTGTGACCTTGGGCAAGTCATTTCCCTCTCGGAGTCCCAGTTTCCTTCTCTGTGAAATGGGAATGATAGAAGTAACTACTCACAGGTTTCTTCGGAGGATTAAGTAAGATAATACATGTAAATCACCCAGCCCATGTCTGGTACATAGTAAATACACAATAAACGTTAGCTGATATTCTTGCTACAATCTGGCACAGCAGCCTTGTTCTTGTCATCTGAGCATCAGGTACACTGGTGCAAATCATCAGCTGGGGGCTTTTGGAGGACCTGACCCTTAAGGATCTAGTAGAAACATTTCCCCTCCTCTGTAATCTAAAGAAAAAGCTGCAAAGAGATGAACTTTGCCTGCCAGTCAGAGCCTGGACCTCAGGTCTTACAGCAGCCTCCAGGTTTAAGTGCCAAGTTGGCCAAGATGCTGGGGCGGGAGAGGCTCAGCCAGGGACTGGGGAGCCAGCTGAGTTTCTGGACATAAGGAAAGAGCAGGAAGAACTGTATCCCACTTGGTGGTACAAAACTGTCCCTAGGACCTGTCAGTGCCCACCTGGGCCAAGCACTGCTGTGGCCTGTCAACTCATGCCAGGAGGATTCAAGGGCTTCTCCTGCCCCACCCCCACCCACCCAACGGGGTCATAAAGATGTGCGTCCAGATAAAAGCTGCTTGGATCAGTGGGGAGTGCTGTGCTCCAAGAACAAATGTTGCTGTCAACCCTGGCTCTTCCACACACCTGTGACCTCAGCCAACTTCCTGAATTGTTATCAGGGCCTCAGTTTCCTTCTTTGTCAAAAAGAGTAACTTCTGCTCTGCCTAATTTATTTCTTCAACAGATACTTAAGTCCCTACTATGTGTCCAGCACTGTTCTGATGCCTTAGAAAGATTGTGCAGAACATTCTGTGCTAGACATTCAAGGCCTCTGCTCCCAGGGAGTTGAGCTGCTAGTGAGCATTCTTTGAAATAGTGATAGAAAAGCAGAGCAGGGTAAAGGGATAGAGAGGGCTGGTCAGGAAAGTTCTCTTTGAGGAGTGACTAGATAGAAATCAGAACACAGTGAAAGAATGAATCATGTGGATGTCTGGGAAAGAGCATTCCAAGCAAGGGAACAGCAGGAGCCCCGAGAAATGAATGTGCCTGGGCAGTCCAAGGCAGAGCAAGGGAGCAGTTCAGGGAAATGCCAGGAACAAGTGGATCCAACCAGATCAACGCTGTCACAGCATAACTTAGATCCTGTCATTCCTCTGCCCTATAGGCCTCACGTGATCTTCCCACTCCTCTTTCACACACACACACACACACACACACACACACACACACTCCTTCACCACCCCCAAGCTCCCTCTGCTCCAGCCACACTTCCCGTCCACCCCAGGGCTGTTACACCTGCCTTGAGATGTTGCCCTAACTCAGGGGCTCAGGATCACCCGTAGGGCTTATTAAAGTGCAGATAACTGAGCCCCAGCCCAGCTACTGATTCAGAAGCTGATTCAGTCGGGGTGGGACCTTTCTAACAAGGTCCTTGGTACTACAATTTGACGAGCACACCCCAGTTATTCCCTCTGCTGTGGTCACATTGGCCCAGACCCTATGTGACTAATGCCCTCTACTCCTTCAAGTCTTTGCTCAAACCAAATGGTCTTGGTGAGGCCCACTCTGACCAGCCTGTGCAATGCTGCAACCTGCCCCCTTGTCCCCTCAATCTCCTCCCTGCTCTATTTCTTTTTTCCATAGCACCTACCATTTTCTAACATATGGATGATTATTTTGCTTAGTTAACTATATGTCCCCAAGTACCTAAGAGGGATTGTTAACCCAGACTCCATGAACTCCTGAACAGCCCCATGGGTCCCACAGAGAGCTGCTAACTCATCCAATTTCTATGCAATAGTTTGTGACCATGATGTCTATAGCTTTCATTAGATTCTCACAGAATTACTTGATCCCGAAGCCTTAAAAACCACTAACAGAGCAATGCCTGGCATAGAGTAGTTGTTGACTAAATGAAATAACTTTTTAAACAATATTCACACACTATTTTTTTTAAACAAGGACAACTGTATAGTAGCACAATGGCTCCCAAAGGTTGGTGTCCTTAGACCAACTATATCAGAACAACAGGGTTGCATTTGAAAAATACAAATTCTTATGATTTAAAGTACCCTCAGAAAATCTGAGTCAGGAGGTTGGGGTGGGGCTAGAGATTGGGTATTCCAAAGCCCCCTGCCCTGCCACCCCCACACACCTCAGGTGAGTCTGAGGCGCCTCTAGGTTTAGGAATTTCTGTCTGAAGCCTTAATTGGAGAGAGGCTCAGGACAATCAATTCTGATGTGCAGCTTTTACACTTTGCAAAAAATGTGATCACACCCTTGGTCACTTGTGACCTTCTTGCAAGCTCTTAGGGTGACAAGGCAGGGATTACAATCTCTCTCTGCGCAGAAAGATGAGGCCGTGGGAACCAAATGACACTCTCCTCCAACACCCAAAGGTCATACTGTCTTCAGGTGGTGGAGATATGATTAGAACTAGGGCCTCTGGACTCTCACTCTAGGGTTCTCCTCTCTGCACCAACTGGATAAACCCAAGTTCCAGGAAGTCACCACCAGAGGAGGGAAGCCAACGAAAGGAGGGGTGGAGTGGCAAACTGTGGAGAGCAAGGTTCAGGGAGGCTGCCTCCTGGCCACTGGGAGAGACTCCCCAGCTGCTCTAAGGACATGGGCATTCACATGCTAACTCAATCTCCTTATCTGCAAAATGGGTTGATATTCCATGCCCTGCCCCAAATAAGAAGCTTGTAGAATGTAAAGAACTCTAAACATTTTAATTATTAATATTATTATTATGTAGGGAAGGTGCAACATTCCCCACTCAGATCTCCAGGGACAGAACTACATCCAGTCTTTCATTCATTTGAGATACATTTTGAGCACGTACTATGGCTTAGGCACTGTGCTGGGCACTGCGCTGGGCACTGTACACACATGGCCTCATTTGACCCTCACAACAACCCAGTGGGGTTGCTGCTGCTGTTTCCCCATTTCACTGGTGAAGAAACTGAAGCTCAGGAGAATGAGTTGTAATTCATTCCATCATTTGTTCATTCACCTAACTTTTTTAAAAGCCTGTTCTGGGCCAGGCTCTGGGCCAAGCGCTGAGGTCACGAAGATGAACTAGTCCTTCAAGGAGACATGCCCATAAATTACTTTAATAATAACTCAGTACATGCTTCCACAGACAAGTGAGTGAGAGCCAGAAAAGGGGCAACTGGCTCCCTGGGGTTATGGGGATGGGCAATTGACTTTTCTTCCGTAGAACCCTGCATTGCAAAGGTGGCCGTGATGGCAATCACAAGGCCTGGGTTCTAGTGTTGCTTCTGTCAAAGCTCTGCTATGTATTCCCAGCCTCGGTCTCAAGCTGAAAAATTAAGAGATTGGGCTCGTAATCCTTCAGCTCTGGGAGCCTAAACCTCTGGCCATCCTACCCCACCTCTGGTCATTTCAAGCTTGGCCTCAGCCAGCCTCGAGGCAGAGCCTGGGACATTCAGACCAAACCTCTTGAAAAGTGCCTAACACCTCGCTGCAAAGCGACACTCCTAACCTGCAGCGTGGCTGGGTGTCCGAAGGGCGGAGCTCCGACGGGGGCGGTGCTGAGATCTCCTGGAGGCGCGGCGCGGTCCTCCCAGGCGCGTCTCATCCAGCCAATGAGCGCGCGGGAGCGGGGCAGCCCCGCCTCTGGATATAAGTAGCCGAGGCTCCGGGACGCGCCGCGGAGGTCTTAGAACCTGAGCCGGTGGGGTGTTCGTACTCCTCGCCTCCGCGAGTTGCCGCCACGGGACGCACAGGAGCTCTGAGTTCGGTGCGTCCTGGGCTAGGCAGTCGGGTTCGGTTTTCCTTTGTCCGGCTGTGTTGCGGGGAGGGCACGGCACCCGGATTCCTCGTTGCAGAGGAACAGCTGGCCGGGTCGAGGGGACTCCTGCGCTGACCATCCGCCCGTCGTCCCCGCAGGCAGCCAGCCCGCCGTCATGGCCGACCACCTGATGCTCGCCGAGGGCTACCGCCTGGTGCAGAGACCGCCGCCCGCCGCGCCCGCCCATGGTCCCCAGGCGCTCCGGACGCTGCAGCCGTTCGCGGGCCAGGGCCTGGACAGCGGGTTGCGGCCACGGGGGGCTCCGCTGGGCCCGCCTCCGCCCCCACCCGGGGCCCTGGCGTACGGGGCCTTCGGGCCGCCGCCTGCTTTCCAGCCCTTTGCGGCCGTACCGCCGCCAGCCTCCGGCAGCGCGCACCTGCAGCCGGTGGCGACGCTGTACCCCGGCCGCGCGACCGCGTCCCCTGGCGCCTCGGGAGGTCCCCTGGGCCTGCAGCCGGCGCCCGGAGCCCCGGCCCCGCCACCGCCCGTGCACGCCCTGGGCGGCATGGACGCCGAACTCATCGACGAGGAGGCGCTGACGTCGCTGGAGCTCGAGCTCGGGCTGCACCGCGTGCGCGAGCTGCCGGAGCTATTCCTGGGCCAGAGTGAGTTCGACTGCTTCTCGGACTTGGGATCCGGGCCTCCCGCCGGCTCTGTGAGCTGCTGAGCGCGGCCCACCGTCTACCTGGTGCGCCCGAGAAGAGAACGGAGTCTGACCTCCCTCAGACTGCTCACCCAACGCCTGGGCCCCGCACCCTCCGTGAGGGTTGAGGCAGCCGGCTGGTGCACCGAGTTACCGCCAGCTGGGACACTTGGTATCACTCCAGGCCCTGCCTCCTGCAGAATGACAGTTTGGCATCACCTCTATGACCCGAAGCCTCAGCTGGTAAAATGGGCACTGGACCCCCTTTCCGACTCCATGTTCTTGGATTCTGAGTCCTCTCCTCTCCACTCTCCCCCACCACAATCCCCCAATCTGAGCCATTCCAGGCTTCTGCCTGAGCCCCCCTCTCCTTATGCAACCTACTGCAGTCACTAGGTCCCTGGAGCTGCCCATCCACTGGGGCCTCTGCCCCCACTGCCTGGGCCCTGAGGTCTCTGGGCCTCCCGCCTTGGGAGGGGAAGATTGTACATACACCCCCTAACCCCTGCAGAGTGGAGCAGTGCCCCATCTGGCCTCCAATAAACCAAAATAAAACTGGGTCGCTTTACAGTCTTGCATTTTCATTTCCTTATCACTCCAACCCCTGACTATATTTGGCTTCTAGAGTACTGAGACTGTTGGGGACCCAGAGTGGGATGGAGGCCACAACCCCTGGCAGTGCCCAGGAGAGGAAATTGACAGTTTCTTTCAAAAATATCTGAGTTGTGCAATTGTTATGTCATAATCTGGAAGGCAGAGGTTGCCACCGCCAGATGGCAGGGTAACCCAAGGGCACCAACGTTAGGTTTCCCAGCTCCTGGGAGGGGGAGCGTGGTGCTGCTGCCCCCACTTGTTGCTGGAAGAAGGTGGCACAGAAGGTCAGAGGGGACCTGGGTGGTACATGAGGGTTCAGAAAACCCTGGCTTTGAGCCTTGGCTCTCCCCCTTGTCCAGTCATTCAGATTTCTGAGGCTGTGTCATCAGAGAGATGGTCCCAGTCTCAGGTGGTTGTGAGGACTGAATGCAATGTGAGCCTTTAGCACAGTGCCAGGCACCTACACAGCCCTCAGTAAAGGGTAGTGATGATTATTCTACAAGTTGGTGCTAGCTTTATTCCAGTCCCTGTGCCAACTGTTACATGCCCTTAAGGAGTTACAGTTCAAGTGGGAGTAGGGGGTGACAGACCTGGACATCGACTCATGTTCATACAAGAGTATGATAAAGACTAGAACATAGGATGTCCCAGCAGGTAAATCCAAAAGAGGAAACTGTTTCAGCTGTTTGGGATGGGGTCAGTTCGGGCTTTAGGGAGGCGGTGACATTTGATATGGTGAACAGAGCCTTGAATGGTGTCTTTAGAAGTTGGAGAAGATGGTGTGCAAGTGAAGAGCCCATTCTGAGGCGGGAGGTATGCAAGTACAGGACATGCACAGAGAAGGCATGGGGTGTCTAGAAAGGACAAGGTCTAATGGTTTTATAGCAACATTGTGAAGTAGGCATAGTTCCCATTCAACAGATGAGGGACACAGAGCTTGCCCAGGCCTAGCAGGATTTGGCCTCAGTCCTGATCACCAGTGTGAGCTCCTGGCCACCCTCTGCTGTTAACTCTCTGGAAAGATCCCTAGGTGTTTCAGGGGTATAGGAGAAAGGCTGAAAGAGAGAGACAGACAGGAAGGAGGCCAGGTCAGAGACTCCGAGGACCAGACTAGGATGAGCAGTGAGGCTAGAGAGGAGAGAAAGAACTCCAGAGACTCTGGAGAAGAACACAGAGCTGAGACCTTCTGTATGGTCGGGCTTTACTCAAACTTGTTTGTTAACATGACTCTCCCTCCAGCCTGTGAATTCACCAGCGTGCACTGCATCGGCACCAGCTCTGGAGCAGCAGGACAGGCGTGGGCAACAGGAGTGTTTGGCAAATGAATAAAGGTCTCCCCTAAGATAATGGGGCCTTCTGGGACAGGATGGGGAGAAGGGCAGAGAGGCCTCTGGAAAGGGATTGGCCTGAGCTCTGGGCTCAAAAAGGCCAGTGTTTGCCCTGTCTTTAACGGGGACCCCAGGCCAGAGATGGAAACTGGGGGGCTGGATTGGGGTGAAGGGGTCTAGCCCTGGTCTGGACACTGTCCTGATTCTCTTCTCTCTGGGCTTCAGTTTCTCCACCAGTAAAATAGGGCTAATATCCCTGACCTGCTATTTCACAAGGCATTAAGGCTCACAATAGATGAGGAGCAAATTCAGGGATAGGTTGAAAAGGTGAACTTCATGTGGAAGAGATTACAGTGAAAACCCAACACCTGCCTCTTTCTAGAGTTTAAAAGGGAGGTAGAAGAGGGAGTCCAGCGACTGAGCGATTTTCTACCCCCATCCCTCCCAGAGGGGCTGCTGGCAAGTTGGACAGCTGAGAAGGTAAGGCTGGGGCAGTCCACCACCGTATCCCTAAATCCCTGACACTTGAGGATTCTGACCCTCCCAGTTGGCAGGGAGGATGGAGTGACCTTTCTGCCAGCATGTAAAGCAGCGGTTCCTTTGGGGGTCGAAGGACCCTTTCACAGGGATCACCTAAGACATAACAGTAGCAAAATTACAGTTATGAAGTAGCAACGAAAAGAATTTTATGGTTGGGGGTCACCACAACACGAGGAACTGTATTAAAGGGTTGCGGCATTAGGAAGGTTGAGAACCACTGATGTAGAGGCTTGTATTCTAACAGCCTCCGGGTCCAGTTCCAGAAGCAGCTCTTACTAGCTGCCTGACCTCACGCAAGTCAGCTTGCCTTCTGAGTCTTGGTTCTCCTACAGCACAGACATACTGTGAGTTCCGTTCCAGATCACTGCCATAAAGTAAGTCGTAATCCTTTCTGCTTGCCTTCCATTTGTAAAAAACACAACATCTGTGAAATGCAATAAAGCGAAGTACAATACAACGGAGTATGCCTGTAATCACACCAGCTTCCTGTGGATTCAACAGGTATCTCTCACCTCTTCCCTGGGGCTACCTCCGTAAAGCATCCTGCCTCCCTCAGTCCTGTTGACTTGACTCTCATACCTGGGCTGGGTCTTTGGGCCTGGGAGGCACATCATGGCATCAGCATGGGGTGGAGACTAAGGTAAGGCAAGTGTCATAAGAGTGACAGCAGCAAGCGCTTCCTTAAACTTGTGCTCTGGGTGCCTCGTTTGCCTCTCCCCAGTCCCAACCCTGACTAGTACCTCTCCTATTAGAGGAAATAAATTCTTTCTACAGAACATCAACCTTACAGGGTTGATATGATAAGATTCTATATAAAGTACCTACTACATGGTAGATTCTTACTGATTGAGAGCAGCTGCCATAATCATCATCACCATCATCATCACCATTCCAGCTCAACTCCGTGTTCAACAGTCATTTGTTGAATAAATTAAATGAACGGTCTGGTCCTAGTCTCTTCCCAGACTGCTTAGACTGTTTAGTTGATTATTAAGTATTCCTCTTGAATTTCTTTCCTTTTTTTTTTCTTTTTTTTTTTTTGTGGTACGTGCCCATAGCAGGAACCGAACCCAGGACTCTCTGGTCCGCAGGCCAATGCTCAACCACTGAGCCATACTGGCCAGGGCCCTCTTGAATTTCTTAATAAATTCTTGCCTAATTTCCCGCCACCCTGCTTTTAGAAATGCTGGGTCAGGGTTACTGTTGATTGTAGGACTCAGTCAGAATTTATTGTGCCTGCTGCGTGCAGGCCTGATGGGACCTAACAGCACCCAGAAGGTGCTCTTTCTCCTCCAGCCTCTCCTTTAACCACCACCCAGCCCTGTGAATGAGCACTGCTAGGTAGTTTCATCCTCATTCCAGGAGCCAGGATACTGGGGCTCAGACAGTGAATTATTCCTCCAAGTGGGGTGAGCATGCCCACTCTAGTACATCCAGGACCCTTCCCCTCCCGCTGGGGCTGGCCAAGGATCTGAGCCTGAGTGGGACAAGAGCAGGGTCCCAGACCTGGTTTGGCCACTTTGTGGCCATGGATGCAGAGGAAGTCACGGAGCCTCTTTAGGCCTCAGTTTCTTCCTCTGTGCAGTGGAGAGAATAATCCCAACTTCAGAGGTGTGTGTGCAAGGATTCAAATGAGATGTGGCTTCTGAGAGCACATTGCAAACAGTGCAGTGCTGTCTGGTTGGGGTGAGTTGGGGTGAACAGCCACGCCCTCTATTCCTAGGCTGCTGGTCTGGAGAGAGGAGACACGCACATACTTTGGGGTTTGAAATCTGGGCCAGCCTGGAATGTGCAATGTAGAGACATACGTCGGGGGGTCTGGGCAGGTGCTGCTCACGTGGATCAGGCTGAGAGCTAGTGGTGATGAAAGCGTAGGGTGTGAGTCACCCTGGGGAGGACATCCAGGGAAAGGCCCAAGGCCCAGAGTGTGCCCTGGCAGATAGAGGAAATAAAGGAAGCTACTCTGAGCCTACTCTCCTCATCGGCCAAATGGAAATGTCGCAGGCCTCCTGTGAGAATGAGCTCAGGTGATGTGAGCGCCTGCCCCATGCACTGCTCAGATAGGAGCTGTTGCTGGGAAACATGACCGTGGAGATGAGGAAGAGAGAGCCTTGTCCCAGCCAGCCTCAGCCCTCCCAGCCTCCCTCCAGCCACCCCGATTCACAGTGTTCCTTATGCCTCAGTGCCTGGGTCTCTGCTGTTTATTCGGCCTGAAATGCCCTCCCCAAGCCCTTGTCCACCTGTGATAAGGCCTATTTCATCACATATCGGGGCTGATGAGGAGTCTTTTCCCCTAGACTGTAAGGTTTTGAGGACAGAACCTGATTCCTCATCGTCCTCACCTCCACCCCACGAATGGCTCAGAGTGGGTATTAGAAAGTGCCAGAGTGAGTGGCTGCTCCCCAGCCCGGAGGTGGGAGCTGAGGCTGAAAGATGACCCTGGGCTGGGTCCACGTTGGAGTTGGGAGCTCTGAGCTCAGTCCCAGCGCAACCATTAAGGTGAGCTCTCTAAACCTTGTAGACAGGACCGCACTCCTCACCCCTCAGACCACACAGGCTCCGCGGGCAGTGAGGCTGGACGAGGGAGGAGGGGGGGGAAACACACGCTTCCCTGGCATCGGGTGGGCCACTGAGGGCAGCAGGCTGACATGCGCTTTCCCCCGCAGTCCTCACAGTAGCTCTGGGAGTTCGGTAGAGTTTTAGGCCACGTTCAGTTGAGGTGAAGCAACCTACTCAGCCACACACTGGGCTCTTGGGAAGAGGTTGTTCTTATTTGCAGGATGAAGGGAGGTTGAACATCAGTAAGCATAAAGTCCAGATACGCCCCACAGAGCAGGGGTACGGCCAGGACAGGGAGTCCTACACAGCTCACTAGAGGGTGGTGTCCACAGGGACTTTCTCCTCTGCCCCTTCCTTGTGAGCAGGTGTAGCTGGGGCTCTGCCATAAAACTGGCACATCCAGGCGGCTGGCACACCCAGGCAGCAGGACCCTCCCCTCTCCCCTCAGCCTATTCTGGCCGACAGACAATATGAGCCAATTGGT